GACATTTAATATTTATGATATTTTGATATACTATAAGTATTTTATTTATAATATAACGCAGCTATATATATAATATTTTATTTATATTTGGATATTTAACGACAGCATCTGGAAAGTGGATTTTTACGTAAACTTAGTGAATTTGTATGTTTATAAATATACAGGCACCTGTAAAGATATTTCGACAAGAACCAGACTCCTTTAACGAAACTGTTTCGACAAACTTTCGTTCGAAATTCCCCACGATAGCCAAGAAATTCATCTAATTAACTTAATTATATATTAGATTAGTTGCATCGTTTTTCTAAAATCTACACACACTCGTTTCCAATCAACGTTTCGTAAAAATATCAAAAAAAAGTCAATGTACATCAGTCTGCCTATTAACGAGACGTTTCGTTGCAGACAGAAACCGCGGAGCGTCGTCACGCTCGTCACGGGAACATCGATTTTCCGACGATGGAAAACAAAAAAAAAAAAAAAAAAAAAAAAAAAAAAAAAACAACAGGCGAGCCGGCGACGAACCTGACGAAACAACAAAGCCTCGGCGCGATACACGCGTCGTCGTTAGCAGCGGAAACACGCCAGCAGATCTTAACTATTCAATGAACGTTCCCGTCCATTCACTATGCCGAGCACGTGACGCACAGTGTTTTCCGTTCCCGCGCGTGGAACAATCGCGCGCGCGAAAAGCTCGCCTTGGCGAGCCGAACCAGATGGACGGCTTTCTCTCCCGGTGAAAGAGAGACAAAGCTCTCTCGCGCTTGCCACGCAACCGCTTACACCAACTGCCGCTCGTTGTCGCTAACCTAATAATGATAATCGATTAACGAAGCATCGTCGCTCGAGCGTTCTCCGTTGCCTCGCGATTAACACTCGCCTATTTAGAGAGGCAGCCTATTTTTGTGAAACACCGACGAACCACGTAATATTTGTTTAGCATGCTCTTCCACGTAATATTTGTTTAGCATCGGGGAGAGAGGTAGATGGTAGAATAATTTGTAATTTTTTTTTTTCAGAGATTCAAGAATGGAATTTATTTCGATTTAGAGCGGTAGATTGATGGATTTATTATTAGAAATTTATATTTAGAAAGAAGAATGTTCCTTCGCACAAGTAGCCAGTTTTTATAAAATACTGATGAGCCTACTCTTCGATCGTGTCATTAAAAAGAGAGGTAGATTGTAGAATAATTTGTAATTTTTTTCAGAGATTTAAGAATGGAATTTATTTCGATTTAGAGTGGTAGATTAATGGATTTATTATTAGAAATTTATATTTAGAAAGAAGAATGTTCCTTCGCACAAGTAGCCAGTTTTTATAAAATACTGATGAGCCTACTCTTCGATCGTGTCATTAAAAAGAAAGGTAGATTGTAGAATAATTTGTAATTTTTTTCAGAAATTCAAGAATGGAATTTATTTCGATTTAGAGTGGTAGATTAGAAATTTATATTTAGAAAGAAGAATGATCTCTCGCACAAGTAGCCAGTTTTCATAAAATACTGATGAACCCATTCTTCGATATAACATAGTGTTCTAGAATTGTTGAAAGCTGTCCACAGTTTCTGGATTCAATCTCTCTCCGATGCCCTCTACTCACAACTTTTAAAATATTCACGACGCTCTGAAAACTCGCGAACTCTATCGATAACGGTCTCTGTCTCCGAAACTATGTATTTCATCGTGACGTGACGCAACAAAGAGTAATGAAGTTATGGACTGTTCTTAACTTCCAAGAAGATTCCAAGTTCTCCTGCGCAGCTGTCAGTTCGCTCTTTAAATCAATAAAATACAATTCAATTAGTATTAAATAGAAGATAATATGCAGAGAGTTTCTCTTTGATTCTCGCAGACTGCATAATGTAAAAAGAGAGAGAGAGAGAGAGAGAGAGAGAGAGAGAGAGAGAAAGAAAAAAAGAGATGATCCTTCAGCCAATCTGTACTTGTCAGAAGATTGTATTACGAAAATGAGATAAAAATTTTATCAATCTATATTATCTTTAACCTCTGAAAGTTCGTGATTTGAATCGACATTTAATTCGATAATTGGAAATCGACAGCCTTCAAAAATTTTAACAGATTATCGTTCCATTCATTTTATACTTTCATGAAGACCGACAAACAGGTGGACAATTAATTTATCTATTGAATATCACATAAAGGGTGTTACAGTTCGAATATTTCACATCGTGCGTATTTTGCGGTTTTTCATAAATCTGCAGTCAATTTATAGAAATTCCCTTCCTGCTGAAAGCTGTTGAAAATTTTTTCGATAATCAGAAATGAATTAGAAAACACGTAAATTTATAAAATTAATATTTCAATTTTTACTCGCAACGACAAGATCAACGTCAAACGCAACGATTCAAATTATCGTTGAAACGAACTGTCACGCTATCGCGACGATCAAATATTGCGATCAAAAAATTGTTTTTACTTGAAATAACAATCGCCCTCTTCCTCGCTCGTTAAACTTCAAATCATTGGCGCCGAGACACGCTAATTAGCTGAAGCGTTCTCGAATCGGGGAAGCTTGAACTTTCCGTTGATCCCGCTGTTTCTCCGCGTGAAATTGCATTAATAGTACAAAGCACCGGCACCGCAAAGCCCTAAGATCTTCTCAGCAATTGTAATCGGATATGGGACTTAACAACAACCGCGGTAGCAACCTTTATGAAACAAGTATTTCGCAAGTTTCGCACAGAGTGGATCGGCCTAGTGCCGCGTTTTAACCAAGGAGGAACCAAGTCTTCCCTCGGTTAGACATTGCACTGTTGGCGGTAAATCGAATCCTCCGCCAAAACCGAAACACACCCTGTTCATTATTCGTTCGCACAGGCGCGATCGTTGAACTCGAAACAGTCTGCAGTCAAGAGACAAGAGTGTCGTCATTAACAATTATGCTCGATGCTTGATTGATAGAGCAACGTATGGGTAACCGATATTTCGGACTCGAGCCTTGAATTAGTCAAGTTTGATACGAGCACAGATAAATTCTATTAGTATTCTTATTTGCAAATTATTATAAATATGTACCCCACTGCTCATGCATGGTTTTTTTTCAAAAATGTTTTGAAATTTTTAGCTACCTTCTGTTATGTTAATTTTGCGGGAACTTGCGCCGATATTATTTAAATACTAAAGTACAGTGTATAAAGAGTCTTTCACTGTCGAGTGACACTGCTTTGATCTATCGAGATAACAATTCAGGATTCGTGTCTGTATAAAAAAAAAAAAAAGAAGTCGAAGTAAATTTGATCGGGTTCGAGTGAGTACCCAAAATAACACGAAGAGCCGGATAGTCCGATTAGGTTGATCGGCTATTGACTCGGATTGGAAGACCAAAAGAAAGGACACGTATTCAGCGTGAAATTTCCAATTTTGTGATGTAAAAGATATATTCATACACATTTTGTATAATTTCTGTATATATGCGTAAAAAGGGAATAAATTGATCTATTAATCCAATAACACATCACGAGTACGTGTGTTAATCACATAAAGTTTCTCGTTCATTTTTCTCATACTCTAATAAAAAAGAGAGAGAGAGAGAGAGAGAGAAAGGAGGAAAAGCAACTTGAGCGAATCGTAAAAAAAGACCGTAGATTAACAAACGTGAATTTAAAAACACAAATTCGAATCTAAATATCCTGCCCATAAAGATACTCATTTAATTAACATTAATTACGACTATTTCTACATTTTCTGCACAAGTAGTTCTCTCTAATAGATCCTATTTTTAGATACGTAGCTCATACGTTATATGTTCGAATGCATTAAAATGTCTAAGAACAAGTGTTATCTCAACAAACAGTTACCGCGATTACTACTAATTTTCGTCTACGGAAAGTCAGCGCAACTTGCTGATAATTGCCGAAACTAATTACAGGTTGCCGTTATCAGGGAGGCACGTCGATGGGCGGGGGTTTAGTTATCGGTCGGGCGAACGTGGATGATAATGGAGTAGTGTGTGTGTCTAAGCAGAAAATTACACTAATTTGATAACGATAATGGTAATGAAAATGGCATTAATTTGCAACGATATCGAACAGGCTTGTACATCGAGATAAAACAGTTCAACCAGTAATTTAGTTTATTAACTACCGGTTACATTAACTTGCTAATTGTTTACTCGTCAGAATTGACAAGGATGACCACGTGTATGTACATATGTATGGAAAATACGTCTTATGTATACAATTTTCATAGTGACCAACTCATTGTAACTTGTGTGTTTTATCTTTCGTACGTCTTGAACGTTTCGTTGTCAAAATTCGATCAGTATCTTATATTAATTTATGAACGTTTATATTTACTTTTTCCAGTTTATGTATACTTGAAACAAATAAAAAAGCGGGTTTAATTTGTAAGTACCTATCGTCCTGTATTAATTGGTGAATATTTATGTTTATATACCAATCATGATTATTAATTTGTGAATATTGATGAATAACAAATGAATGAGTGAATTTAATTTATGAATATTTAGGATTTTACGTTAATTCGTAAACATTTATGTTTATATAAATTACAAAATTGAACAATTTAATCCAAGAGTCTTACGATCTGCAATACTATTTAAATAACAATTAAAAATTCCAAATGAACAAATTTTCAAAAACAGTAGAACTTTTTTCTGTAAAAAAAAAAAAAAATACAGGCTTCTATCGAAAATAATACAATGGTGTCGTCTATTTTTTCGTTCCTTTTATTCACTCTCGAAACGACACTTTGTTCATTTTCAACGAAACACGTATACTTCGAAACGTACGCGAACACAAATCCAAAAACAAAAAAAAAAAAAAACGTTTAACGAGTTTCATCCAGAAACCTGAATTGTTTTCATTTGAACGCGAAACCAGCAGCTACCACGCCACTCGTCCGAGATTGCACTTTTCATTAGCAGCATTCGTCATCCTCGATACGTTTTTAAACGCGAATTAACAGTTTCTTCGTTCGACGGAACAGATCAATGTGTCATAGTGCGTACGAGATTTTCGACGCGTATATAAGAACGGGTCGGGCCGACGTATGTCAGACAAAAACTCGACTGCGAAGCTTGCGCGCGAAAGCGACATGGAAAAAAATTTGCTCCTGGTGTGGATCGTCTGTCTGGTGTTCGTAGTAACTCATGCGAAACCGTTCCCTCAGCAAGAAAATTGTAAGTTTAAGTTGAAATTAAAATCGAGTCGACGCGAGACTCAGTCATCCTTAATTATCTTACCTATTTTTGGATTCTAACAATTCAGAGAATCTGGATTTTATTTATTTTTAAATAAATTCAAGTTGAAATTAAAATCCAGTCGACGCGAGACTCGGTCATCCTTAATTGTCTTACCTATTTTTGGATTCCAAAAATTCGGAGAATTTGGATTTTATTTATTTCTAAATAAGTTTAAGCTGAAATTAAAATCGAGTCGACGCGAGACTCGGTCATCCTTAATTGTCTTACCTATTTTTGGATTCCAAAAATTCGGAGAATTTGAATTTTATTTATTTTTAAATAAGTTTAAGTTGAAGTTAAAATCGAGTCGACGCGAAACTCAGTCATCCTTAATTACCTTACCTATTTTTGGATTCCAAAAATTCGGAGAATTTGGATTTTATTTATTTCTAAATAAGTTTAAGTTGAAATTAAAATCGAGTCGACGCGAGACTTAGTCATCCTTAATTATCTTACCTATTTTTGGATTCTAACAATTCAGAGAATCTGGATTTTATTTATTTTTAAATAAGTTCAAGTTGAAATTAAAATCCAGTCGACGCGAGACTCGGTCATCCTTAATTGTCTTACCTATTTTTGGATTCCAAAAATTCGGAGAATTTGGATTTTATTTATTTTTAAATAAGTTTAAGTTGAAGTTAAAATCCAGTCGACGCGAAACTCAGTCATCCTTAATTACCTTACCTATTTTTGGATTCTAACAATTCGGAGAATTTGGATTTCATTTGTTTCTACCGAATCTTTGATTTTCGTGAGATAAAATTAAAATAAAAATTGCAGCTTCCATACGCTTCTGAGAAATTTAGAGATTCGAACAACAGTGGACAGTGTATTAAAACGAATGCCATTGTTCAATTATCATAATTATATTATAATTGATTTCAATTAATTGCAGTAAACGCGTTATATCGCGAAATAGTATCACTCAATTTAATTTTCATGATCGGATGTGCAGATGACGATGAGGTACTTTCTCCGAGAGACACCATATATTATCCGTTTTGGTTGGTCAGACCTATTTATGATCAGGACGATATTGGCGATAATGTTAATAGACCTACTATATCGTACGCTCATGTCGGGTAAGTTAACGTGATTTTACTGTCAATTAACAATAAGAGCTAATCGTTTGAAAGTTGTACCAAACGACTGAAAAATAAAGGTTTAGGTTTATTAATTAAAAATACAAAATTGGAAAAATAAAACATTAAAATTATATTAGGAACGTTATAACATTTCCACTGTTAACCATAGTCAAACTTACTATTCACGATTATTCTTTCACTCAATTTTATTTCTATAAATATTCACTATAGTATCAATCTTCACGCTTAATAGTCAGATTAAAATAAGGAATAATGACCAATTGGTATTCTTTTCTCCATAAATAAATCAAACTGCACTTATAAGTGCTCATTACAATCTTTACCGAACGAAATAATGAAATAAGTGTGGCAATAAAATGAAATTATAATTTTTAATTAAAACGTGTTCCAGAGCCGGATGGGGTCGTTAAAAAGCTATCAATCTCATCTTCAATTCATCTTGCAACCACCAGCCCAACGAGTGCGTCGTAAATTTATATTAATTAAATTATTATACGCCCCACGTTAAATTAATATCTCGGTTCGTCAATTATCAAATTCGAGATCGGCGAGGCTGATGCCGTGAATTAATAACAAATTACCAGTAGAAACAGCCTTTCGGTAAGCAAATTTTCTGTTTGCCTGTCGGCCAATTAATACTCGATCGCGCCGATCGATACTCCCCCGTGCATCATGCGCTTCCGAATCGTACGTCAAACAGTTTCAAACAAGGCTGATGCCGTGAATCGCTATTTCGCAAATTAAACTACATTATTTTCGAATTCGTGATCGATTGGAAAGGGATGACGTAGACCTTGAATGATGAACGAAAGGATTGGCCAGACCGATTGATGAGAATCGTCGATTGTAAAACAATAGTATAAATATTTATGAACGCTAAGCCACTGACAGCGATGCTACGCGAGAGACCAGAGCGGACTCCGAAATATCGGTGGATTTATTTAGCGACAACGGAGGAAGCATTGAGCTAATCTAATTTTAGTCCCACCGCTGCTAATTTCATCCTCATGTTTATACGTGGAATCACTGACTCTCGAAGAGTTCAGAGTTATGCATCTTACGTGGAGCGACTGTTGTTCGTTCTCAATTAACTTGGCCATCGTCAATCGTCTTTGTGTTAATTGTTTCGAGATTTCTAGACAGTTTTACGCGAATTTAGATATAGTAAGTATAGTCCTGTAAAAAGGGATTAAGAGATACAAGTTGCATATATTTTGTAAAAACTGAAGGTACCTGTATTAAATTTGTTAACTTTGTCCTTGTACAGTATTTAAGTTATTAATCCAAATCCATTAATCTATTCTTAGATTTATTTTCCTAGTAAGAAATCCTAAATTTCAAATTAGGAATGGATTCTGAGTAATAAATGCTAACTTTCCCCTGAAATGTATTGTCCCAGGATGAGTCTAAATTTTACGTAAATTAAGAATTATTCATTTCGAATATCCATTCTCAGAATGAAGAATATTCTCCTAATAAGAAGCTCTAAATTTTAAACGAATTAGGTATAGAGCCAACGAATCCGTTCGCATTTGGGAGCACCTAAATGAAAATTCTCTTGATAATAAATTCCACCTAAATGAAAATTCTCTTGATAATAAATTCCAAGTTTCCTAAACTTCCTCTAAAATTTATTATCTCAGGATAATCGAAGTCAGTACTAAATTTTACATAAATTAAAAATTGTCGTTCCGGATATTCATTCTCAAAAAAAATATCTAAATAAGAATTTCACACACTCGACAAACAGCCAGCGATAAAACACGCTGTGAAAAAGCCACACCCCGAGTACTCGCGGAGAAAGCAGCCCTAAAGATACTTTAGAGTCTTTAAGTACACTTAAAATTCATTTCAAGAAGGAGAAAGCCGATAAAAAAAAAGTTAAGACCCTATCAGTTCGAGTCACAAACTTGGAAAAATTCGTCTTGATAATTTCGTCGTGAAGATTTTCCTATACTGCTTTGTCCATGGCCTGTGGAACTGAATTCATGCACGAATGAAACGAATGACAATTATTCCGAATTCTTTCCTCGATCCGCTGGATCTCTCGTACGAGAGAGATTCCGTACATTGTGCGCTCCAAGGGAATCGAAATCAAATGGCTCGGAATTACGGCGACAGGTTTATCGCTGTTGGATTCAGACTGTACGAGAAAATCTACTGAGAATTTGTAGAACTAGGATAATTCTACCGGATAATGGCGAAGTGATACAAAAGAAATTGGTGTGTTTTGAATTTGCGAATTCGACGACGTTTTGTTGAATGGACAGAAATTTGGCTGGTAGTAATGACTGATGACAGTGAATTTAATTAATAAACTGCATCTGAGATGCTTCAAATGTGATAAATACCTCTTGCAATATTTAGTTGGTGAAGATCATTTTTTAACGATGGCCTTAATAATGTAAATTTGTGTGTACGAATATCCCTACGTAGTTTACCGCCCGTAGATTATCATATTCTCGGGATTTTTGGATTCAGAGTTGTTTAAATTCAACAAATTTCAAGATTGAAGGAAGATAATATAACTTTCATATTTTGTGTATTTTAATATATAAGTAATTAATCAGAAGCTTGAAAGGCAGGAAAATTGCGTTAATTTAATTAAATTAAAACTTGATGGATCGTTAAATACTTCATTATTTATTGACAAGCAGATTGTAGATTCCATCCGGTGGAACAATTTTCATCATCATCAACTATTCTCCAGCAATATTTGATAACGAATTTGTCCCGAGTAAATTAATTAATGATCAACATCATTTTAAAAGTTGGAATATCGAATCTTGTCCAAACGTAGTACATACACTGTCATAATTTTAAATCAAGGATACTTTTGCATCGAGGAACTAATAAAATAAAAACACGAAACAAAATTATTCGACAAAATCGAAGAATTGAAAAAATTCTAATTCTTTTGTAATAATGTTCAAAGTTCAATAAAACGGTGGGAAAAAGTCTGCAGTACAGCAAATTTCGAAGGATCTTGAAAATCATGATAAACCTACCTCGCGAAACAAACTTTTTCAACGTTTTTCAAAATATTCGATTTCCGAGAAAAAACGAACGCTCACGAATTGTTGCACGATTTCTTTCTCGCAAAGTTGCAACAATTTTTCTTTCTATTATACGTTCTTTTCTTCTACTTAGGTGACTTGCTCGCGCCGAACGCTGGTGGAACGAATAATCCGCGTGGATGGAGGACGAGGACGACTTCGTCAAATTCGCGTGAAACAATTGCGCGAAACCAACGAGCCGCGAGTTGATGGGTTTGACGAAAGCTCGCAGCCGTTTTATTTTAATCGGGCATGCAGTAATCTCTGTACGGGGGAGGGAAAAAATCTTAACGAGCCTTTTGTCTAGCCTACGAGGACAAAGGGAAAGCAGACGGAGAAGGAAAAACGAGCTGGTTCTCGAGGGTCTCGTAGCTCGACGCCCAAACGAAGCCATCCGGTCCCGGTGGTCCCGCAACTCGTCGACTCGGTAACGCACGCTCAAACGGCCGCTCCTCGTGAATATTTAACAGGCTACTAAGAGGATGAGCTTTCTTGAAGAGGCTCGTCCGTGAAACGTCGGAAACGGGACGCCGCGGGACGACCAACGACTCGGCCGCTTTTCCCCCTTTTAATCCCCGGCGTTCGTCGCGCGCGCGCTGAGAAATTATAACTCCGGCCCCTACACGCGAGCCACCGGCTCTCTTTCATCTCTATATCTCTCTCTCTCTTTCTCTCGTTTCCTGCGAGCTTCTCCCCGTCGAGAGTGTCACACTTTTCACCGTGCCGCACTCTCGTTCTCGTTCTCATTCGACAGGAACAACGCGCCTTGCATCCGCTGCGATTCCAAACATTTGTGTCGATTCTTCCCTCGCGTTATCTACGGTTCAGCAGTGTGGAGACAGGCACTTTTTCTCTCTCTTTCTCTCTTTTTCTTTTTTGTAAATCGAAGAAGACGCGGAATTTTTGTTTTTGAATTTGTGTCCCAGGGTGAATTTGGTTTGGTTACCCGACACGTTGGAATTTACGCACATTGCCTTCCGTGCCACAGGATATTTAATTTTTGGATAATACAAAACCATTTTCTACTTCTCTATCATTCGCGTTGTTTGAAAATTTGAAAATATTTGTGAAAATGTAGACTGCACGCGCGACGTTCTCGCTTTGTTACGATGTAGAATAAAATATCTATTCGAGAGATATATTCCAAACTTGAGCAACTTAAATATAATTCGAACTGTTCGTTGAACGAATTATTTCTGAAACCAATCCATAATATTTCCAAAAATATTTCAAGCTATATATTAGGGATGTCCATAAATATTGTCGGTTTTTTCAAATTTAATAAATATTGCCATTTGGTGACAATAATTAAAAAAATAATAATAATAATTTAAATAAAATAAAATTTTATATAATATTAAAAACCGACATTATGTATAATGGAATAGAATAATTCTTCTCGATTGTTAACGAGATACAACTATAATTTTCCCTATAATACACTTTACGTGTATAATTTCCAAAAAGAAGTGTACAATTACGTGTACAATTTCGACGATGTTTCCGTCCTTATTTCCAGCGTTTTATTAGAAGAACAGAGCGAAAATTAATAATGGAACAGCCGGAGGCGGGAAAGCCATTTTCACCTCGGTTTAATGGAACCTCGCGTTTTGTACGTAACCCAAACAATTTCCCAAAATTCGTACTTCTGTTTGCACTTCAAAGATACATCAGCTCTTGTTTTTCCTTTACCCCCGGTCCCTATTTTAATTACAGGCGAACGAAACTTTGCGCCGTTTAATTTTAACTTTGAACAAAAATTAGGCGCCGTGTAACTTTTCTAATCTCTGTGCCGCGGCTCTCGCGTTGTATTTGCACAGCAACTTTTTCTAAATTTAATTAATCGTTATTTCGTTAAGTGTAAATTTTTATAAATCTGTAAATTCTATATATTTCTGCAAACTTTTTCGAAGATTCTTTTCAAGACGTTTCGTGATATTCACGAATCAATTATTCAACAATTTTCAATTATCAATTGAACAATTTGGATTTATTATTGAAACTGTTTTGCCGTAACTGTTGTTGCTTCGGTGAAAGAACATTTGTATACTAAAACGTGTACTCAAATAAACGAGCAATATTGCTCGTAACGTGATCAGCATATGCAGCGCAATTGAGTAAAGCAAATTTGCTAAAAAATTAAAATTAAATTGTTGTGCCACCCGATATAGAGTAATGAATATTCATCGGCAATAAAGCACGAGATATCTCGTGATCCATCTGCAAGCAACAACGTACGAAACACGAGATATCACGTGTGTAATGTTTCGTATGTAATATGTTAATGGATTCGACAAATGGAGAATTAGTGCGAGACATTATTCTCCTTCCATTTCCAAACATTTATAATTACCATCGACTTTATCTCTCGTGCGAAGAAACGGAATATTACAAAATCTCGATTGATTTTATTTCATTCAAATGAAAGATATATAAAATATCTAAAGAAAAAATGTTATTATAAAATTCAATCAAAATTGTCTTCCGCTGGAAATGAAATTTCAGAAAAGTGACACCAGAGAATGAAATCAGTAATTTAATGATTCAAAATATATATATCTCGACAAATGTGTAGAATGGAGAGAATAACCAATAACGATAAAAAATTACCGATTATTGAACTTTAAACGTTAGAATTAATTGACCGAATGTTAGGATTTTTTTTTAACATCTATCGTTTATTTCTAGTATTCAAAGTGGAATAAAATTCTAAGCTAACTCTTGTTTGAAAGGATTTGTAAAGAAGAGACTTCATTCTTTAAAATGATGGAGGATCCAGTCGAGAAAATAATTCTTTCAATCTTTTTAAAGACGTCTGAATTTTTACAATTTTCGAGAGAAAATTCTCACTTTCTCACTCGTTGCAGGATGTAAAATTATCTTCAAAAAAAAAAAAAAAAAAAAAAAATGTAACTCAATATTGTCTAGAAGATTCTACGTTTTAAAAAATGAGATCAAGTGGACTGTTATATGATTTTATAAAGTTATAAAAGTTTCAATAATAGATTGTCAATAATAAATCTCCGCTGTATATTCTAATAATTTGCCACTTAAAAAGTTTAAGCACTTTCTAAGAGAAATCATCATCACGTTTCATATTTTTCTAACGTAGTAAAAACGTCAAATGTACAGATCGTATGGAGCAAGATATTATACAAAGAATACATACATAGTAGCAAT